ATTACATATAAAAGGATAACAAATAAAAAAATATTAAGTATTTCGAAAGTAAAAAATTTAATGTTAGAAAGTAATGAAATATTTAGCTAAAAAATCAATCCCAAAATCAGCGGCTAGTGAGAGAAAATCCCAAAATCCCCAAATTCTAAAGGTTCAATCCCCGTCGAATTGAGTCGCCTTCCTCGGCAAAAGGGCGGCGCCGGCCGGCGGACGACCTCAACCGTCACCCCGCCTCTGTGTCCCGGTCATTCAGCGCTTCGCGGCTTGCCTTTGGAATCGGACTGGTTCGGCCTTGGTTCGCCGGTCTAGTGGCAGCGTTAGGAGGCGGCGAGCCCGTGGTCGTCGTTCGGCTTGCAGGTGACCGCCGGCCTTCGATTGGAGGTGAGTATGCTGTCCTTTTCCCCCGTTCCTGTTTCGATTTCTGATTTTATGCGAGAATGGAGGGCCAACGGAGGGCCATCTCGAGCGGTCCTATTTTCGGCAGATCTCCGTTCGGGGTTGACGAGTCCGGTCGCCGGTGGTCTGCGGTTCTATTGGCTGGGTCGTGGGTTGAGAGGCGGGGTGGGGCTCTGACGGGAGTCGGACCTGAGGGCCCGAACAGTCCCCCGTTTGGTCTAGTGGTGTTAGACGGCGGAAATCTGGTGCTCCGATGCTCGGCTAGTGGTGTTAGGCGTGCTCGGGAGGTGCTAGAGTGGGTGCGTGTTTGGTTGTCCTTTCGGTTGAGGTGGGTCGTTTTGGAGTGTGATTTGTGTTCGGGCTCGACTTCTTGTATAGGCCTTGTGGCAGTTTCGAGAGCCGTCCCTGGACTTAGATTATCCTCTGATATAGACTGTCCTCCGCTGGTCCGAGCTGACTGAATTGCTGTGGAAGGGCTTGTTAATATAGCTGTGTTTTCATTTTCTAGTTTTGTTGTAGATTGGTATGTTGTTCTAGTGTGTTAGTTTCTGTGTTTGTGTTTGTCGTTGTGTTTTAGGTCTGGGCCGTTGGCCTCTGTGCACCCGAGTGTCATTTTCATTACTCTGTTGGGGTCCAACACTCGGGAATTACCCTGTTGGGGTCTTGTGTTGTTTTTTTGTCGTTGTTTTGTGTATTTGTTTTGAGTGTGTTGCCGAGTATTCTAGCTTTGCTAGTTTTCGGATCTAGGCGGTCTTCGGACCTGTCCTCCCAGTTTTCTCAGTCGTCGGTTGTATTATTCAGCTAGTGGCTGTACCTTTGCACATTTGTGCGTTTATATATAAATCCTCTATCGTTTCGTTAACTAAAAAATTAATACCAATTCTAACGAATATTTAAATGTTATTCCTCTCATTTGAATTATTTCAATAAAAAATATAACAAAAATATTTTGTTAGAATCATGAGCAGATCCATTTTTTTTAATACAGTTGACATATGGCTACTTCCCAAACCATATAGCATAATGTATCTAACAAAAATTATGGGAACATTTTTCATAATTTTATTCATGCCCCATATTCAGAAAGTAAAATTAAAAGAAAGAAAGATAAATATGAATTAATTTGTTTATAATTTAATTCAGCTCATAACTTTATTAACGTTATACCATAAACACAATATTACAACTAAAGAAAATATGATAAATTTAAAAATTATAATTTTACCCTTTTAATTTTCTTTTTTTTAATCTTGATGATAGCTTCTATTCTCTCTTTTGCAACATATTTTTTCTCTAACATTTTTCATGTCTCTTTTAACTAATGTATATAGAATTATAGTTATATATTAATAATTGACAAATTCATCAATTATATTGCCGAGTCAACTATACCACAACATAAATTTTTTGTTCATAAATATTTTAAAAAATATATTATTTTCAATGATTTTATTATGTTGAAGAAAAATTATGTCTTTTTGTTAATTTATTTTAACTTGTCGTGACTGTATTGATGTATTAAAAATGTATTTCAGGTGAGAAATATGACAAATTACTAAAGAAAATATGATAAATTTAGAAATTACAATTTTACCCTTTTAATTTAATTTTATTTATTTTAATCTCGATAGTAGCTTCTATTCTCTCTTTTGCAACATATTTTTTCTCTAACTTTTTTCATGACTTCTTTAACTAATGTATGTGTTATTATAGTTATATATTAACAATTTACAAATTCATCAATTATATTGTCGAGTCAACTATACCACAACCTAAATTTTTTGCATAAAAATTTTACAAAAATATATTATTTTTAAATGATTTTATTATGTTTAAGAAAAATTATATTTTTTTTGTTAATTTATTTTAACTTGTCGTGACTGTATTGATGTATTAAAAATGTATCACATGTAAGAAATATGACAAATTATAAATTGTAAAAGCATTATGTTATTTTGATGGTATAGTGCCCCCTGTAAGAAATTATTTTGGATCTGCCACTGCATTTAGCTTTTCAATGAAACATCAATTGAATTTTTTACAATTCCAATGGTTGTTTTTCCAACGGTTGAAATATTGTCTGAGAAAAATTCCAATAAAAAATCACACAATAATAAATAATAGTAATGAGAATAATTAATCAGTTAAATTCTAATGTAATTTAACTTTATCTCTGTTAGAATAGCCAATGAAGTTTTCAATGAAAGCCATACCAATGAAATATCTGCTGGAATTTTCAGTGGAATACCTTACGGTTGGTTTTTTTTTTTAATTTATTCATTCTTAAACATTAAATTTTTATGTGATATCTTTTGTTATTACTTAATTATCTTTACAATTTTCCTTTTAAAAATACATTAAACACATGGCTTTTTAGTCATGTAATTGTTTTAGAAACCACTCATTATTTTATCTCAAGATTACCTATTAATTTCTTAATCAAGTTATATTTCTTACATATTAAATATTAAATAATGAAAATATTTAGTATTGTATAATTGTAATATGATATTTGTATATTATATTTAAAAAACTTATAGCAAATAAAAAATTTATTTAAAATTAGAACAATCAATTTTTTTTTAAAAAAAAATTAGAAGTTCTAACCTAAATGGATAAAAGTACAATTAACTATTGTCTGTCACCTAAACCTTACACATAGAATTAATAATCACAAAAAATTAACAAATGTTTACAACTCAACTCGTTTATATTGATAAATACAAGTTTTAAAAGTTTTATATTTTTAATCAATTATAACACTTTTAATATTATTTATGAAATTTTATATATGTCTTATTATATATTAATTTCGTACATTTTTGTAAAGAAAAACAATGCTTTATTATAATAATACAGATTGGATAGATGGATACTGGTAATATATCCATATAATTTCTTGGTAAAGATTAATACTTTTTTAGATTAATTTAAAAAATAGTATTTCTATACTTCGTGGCCGTTATGAGAACAAACAATACCGATTTCAAGTTTTGTTCATAAAAAATTCTAAAAAGTATATTGTTTTCAATGATTTTCTTATATTGAATTAAGAAAAATCATGTTTTTTTTTTTTAATATTTTCTAACTTATATGTGTTAAAAATGTATTACAAATGCGAATGATGACAAACTATGAAAAGTATAATTTATAAAAATTATAGTGCATTATGTTATTTCAAATAACATTATTAAAAATAAGAATGTTTTCCAAAACATCAATTATATATCTTTCCAAATTTTTGTTGTCTGGGTTGATATTTTAGAGATATAAAAAAAACAGTTTGACAAATATGTGAAAGAAGCAAATTCGTGAAGAATAATGATATGAGAATATTGAGGCTCATTTTTAGGAGACTAATTTGCCATTAAAAATAAGTCAAAGTAAGTGTTTTTTTGGTAGTTCATTTGTTAATTAAAAAATATATGATTACAATTTTACATTAAATTTATATTAAAATAAAGACGTTTTTGAAAACATCAACTATATATTCTCTCATAGCCTTGTTGGGTTGATTTTTGGGAGATATGAAAGAAAACAGTTTGACAGATATGTGAAAGAATCAAATTGGTGATGAATAATGGTATGAGAATGTTGAGGTTGATTAATAGGAGAGCTAGAATATTTTGTTCATGTATCTATAATTAATTAATTAAATATTAGTTATTAATTATAAATATAAGATGATTATTGGTGTAGTATTAATTTGCCATTCAAAGTAAGGGTTTTTTAGGTAGTTCATTTGTTAATTAAAAATATAAAATAAAATGGGTATTATTATATTATTAACTAGTATTCGACCTGTGCATTTGCACAGATATAAATAAATTATTGTGAGTCTGTATGCATATAATGATTAATTATTTTTCTTTCACTTTTTTTCAGACCAAATTTATAATTAAAAGAGTTGGAATATTTTTTTTTTAAATTGCGTTTATCTGATTGGATGTAATGTATATTTTGGTACGTATTTTATTTGTGAATTATTTATTATTTATTTAGGAATTTCAAATATATTTTTTATTTTCAAAAAAAAATTTAAATGTAACAACAATAATAACATCTAATCACATTATACGGTCAACACATTATATGGTCAACTGTCATTAATAAAAAATTTAAAATGATTTTTGTAATTTTGAAGTGATGAGTATTAATTATTTAATGATTAAATGAAAGATTAAATACATAACGGTTTTTGGAGGGAAATTTGTTAAATTGCCACATAGGTAAAATTAAATAGGTTTTATTAAATGTTTTAAGTTAGTAATTATATATATATAGATTTGTCATTAAAAATATGTCAAAGTAAGGGTATTTTAGACAAATCATTATTTTTACAAAATCACTGTTCCTTTTATAATAATATAGATATAGATAGATAGATAGATAGATAGATAGATAGATAGATAGATAAATATATCAATCAGGACAATCCTCTGGACATATAGAGAGAGGGAACGGACAATCCTCTAGACATATACAGATATACTACATTAAAGAGAGAGAAAAGAGAGAGAGAAAAAAAAAGAGAGAGAGAGAGAAAAAAAAAAAGAGAGAGAAGAGAGAGAGAGCGCTAGAAAAAATAAAAACGAGAGAAAAAAATGGGAAAGGAAATAATATTAAAAGTTGCAGTGATGGGTATTACAATATTTGTGTTATCCATTTTGCACGTGACAATGGCAGTGAAGAAGACATACATCGTTCAGATGGCTGGAGACGAACGGCCAGAGTTTTTCCCCGATCACTTCACGTGGTATGCCTCGTCTCTGGCGTCGGTGTCAGAATCGGCCAAGACGAGATATATTTACGAGAATGTGTTTGATGGCTTCTCTACCATGCTCACTTCTGAGGAGGCCGACCTCATGAAGGGCCTTGAAGGGGTGATATCCGTCATCCCAGAGACAATCTACACCGTCCAGACAACCCGGACCCCTCTGTTTCTTGGTCTTGAAGAATCGAGCCCACTCCTTCCGGATCCCCAACAGGTGAGTGAAGTCATTGTCGGGGTCGTGGACACGGGCGTGCGGCCCGAACACCCGAGCTTCAGAGACGAGGGGCTGAGACCCGTCTCAACAAGCTGGAGAGGGGGTTGTGAAGAGACAATCGACTTCCCAAAATCCAGCTGTAATAATAAATTGATTGGGGCGAGGTTGTTCGCGAAAGCGTACCTAGATTATCTCAATCAAACAGGGGAAAAGGTGCCCGATGATGATCCAATATCCCCGCTGGACTACTATGGCCACGGGACCCACACCGCAAGCACTGCAGCCGGGTCTCCTGTCCGAGGCGCCAATCTGTTTGGCTTCGCTGGCGGGACGGCACGGGGGATGGCACCCACTGCTCGGGTTGCCTCATACAAAGCCTGTTGGGATTACGGGTGTTTTGGTGCCGACGTATTGGCAGCCATAGAGCGTGCCATCTATGATGGCGTCCACGTGCTGTCGATGTCGGTGGGTGATGATGGTGGCCTTGATTATGACAAGAATTTGGTCGCGATTGGAGCTTTTGCTGCGACTAGTAGGGGCATCTTCGTTTCCTGCTCTGCAGGGAACGAAGGGCCCGACCCTTCCAGTTTGATCCTCTTTGCACCGTGGGTAGTGACCGTCGGTGCAGGGACCATTGACCGCGACTTCCCAGCGGATGTCATGCTCGGGGACAAGACAAATTGCACCGGCATCTCACTCTACAGCCGCCGCAAGCCACTGTCCGGTGGTCTCGTGTACGCTGCAAATGTGAGCAACAATGGCAGCAGTTTTTGCACTAACGGGACCCTCGCCATGGAGAAAGTTAAAAATAAGATTGTGTTGTGTGACGGTGGGGTGAATACCAGAATTCATAAGGCAGAGGTGGTCAAAGAAGCTGGGGGTTTAGGGATGATTGTGGCAGACGATTACACATCGCCAGACTCTTGCATGGTGGCAGATGCTTACATGTCTCCGGGCACAAGGGTGGGCAAAAAGGCAGGGCGTGAGATAAAAAGGTATTTGCAGTCCCATAGATCTAATGCCAAGGCCAGTATTATGTTTAGCGGGAAGGATACGGTGGGCGTGAAGCCTTCCCCGATGGTCCCAGCCTTCAGCTCTAGGGGACCCAACCCTATCACCCCCGAAATCCTAAAACCGGACCTCATTGCACCCGGGGTGAACATCCTAGCCGGATGGGGCCCTGCATTGGGTCCCTCGTTAGTAGGTATCGACAAACGCAAAGTCCAATTCAACATAATCACTGGCACGTCCATGTCGTGCCCACACGTAAGCGGCCTGGCTGCTCTGCTAAAGGCGGCCCACCCTGACTGGAGCCCTGCCGCGATTCGTTCGGCTCTCATGACCACTGCTTACTCCACTTACGAGGACGGGAGCCCGTTGCTGGATGGAGCCACCGGCAACGCGTCCAACCCGTTCGCTCATGGTTCCGGGCATGTCTCCCCTGTCACTGCCCTCAACCCAGGCCTAGTCTACAACCTAACCAAAATCGATTATTTGAACTTCCTCTGTGCAATAAAATACAATTCTTCTCAAATCAAGGTCTTTGCAGGGAAAACAAAATTCCGTTGCGAGCAAAGGAAGCTATACAACGTCTACGACCTCAATTACCCTTCCTTCGCAGCCACCATCCCCCCATCTGGAAAATGTAAAACCAAAGTGGTTTTTAGGAGGACACTCACCAATGTGGGAGAAAATGGGACGACATACCGAGTGTCTATATCTTCACCAACTCCGTCGGCCACGATTTCTGTTACTCCTAAAACATTGGTTTTCCACCAGAAAAACGAAGCAAAGTCCTACAAGCTGACGGTTGTAGCAGCCTATATGCCGCCCGGTACCAACGCGTTCGGCAGAATCGAGTGGTCGGATGGGAATAATGTGGTGGGGAGTCCAGTTGCTGTTAGTTGGATCAACGCTACTCGGGAGTAACAGACTAATACAATCTATCCTCTGATGTGTTTTTCTGCAAATTGATAGGGATTGTCCCACTGAACAACGATCAATGAGAGTGAGCAAAAGAGAATAGAGAGAGCATACAGACTAATTAAAGAAAAATTATTGTTAGGGGATTTGGCGTCAGTGTGGAATGAGTGTACAACTGGTGTCCTAATGAAATATAATTTTTCTACTCCCATGCATTAATAAATACTAATAGTTTAAGATGTTGATAATTTGAATTTAGAGTATAAATTTACCTCTTGATCATATTGATAGATGCCATAACTTTAAGATACCTATTGCATTCTCGGACTTCCTTAACAAGATATTAAAGGGAATTGAATTATTACTACTCAAATTCATTATTAAAATACCGTACAAAGTAAAAATATCCAATCTACAAAATATGCTCTCATTTATTATGTTTGTGATACACTTCACTCATTTGTCACATCAAAAACCAAAATATTATTATTATTATTATTACTATTATTATTATTATTATTATTATTAGATGCACAAATATTGTTTTATGCAAAACTAAGAAACGATTGATTCACTTATGTAAAATACTTAGTCAAGACTTCTTGATTATATTTTAAGTCAGAATGTTGAACAAAGAGAGAATTAGAGAAAAAAGTATCTTGAATTTCACAAACTAAAAATTAATCTACACTATTATAAAAGATGAAATGATTTCGTACAAAATTTAAACGGACTAAAAGTTCTTATATATGATATAATTTTCATGGCAATATTATAATCACATAAGTATTTCAATAAAAAAAAGTTGTAATCAACCAAAACTAATTCAAACGCAACTAAGACTCTAATATACATCAAAATCCTATAATTATATTTCGTAGCTTAGGCATTAGACTTTCTTTCAAAACATGACGAAGAGTCAACAATATTATTCTGCAAGTTGAATTAAAATTAATATAATAATGAAATAAAAAAAGNGAGTACATAAATTTCTATGGTGCATTGCATGCTAAGTCAAAAGAATAATCTTGGCAATTTGAATTGCAAAACTACGTAACTAACATTTTTCATTAAATTAATGATTACATACTCTCGATTGGAATTTAAAGTTTTTAAGTGTAATTACATTTTAAGAACAAATATCTTAGTACACGCGAAAGATTTTGTAACGCACACTTCTAATTTATAGAAAATATTTATATTTTCAAGTAATTTTAAACTTTTAAAATTCTAAAATTCTTTTTCTCGAACAGTTACTAAAAAATTCTCTTTCTTTTCTGAAAAATTCTAACTCTTTTATGCTAAATGAAACTGCTCATTCTTTCTTTCTCTCTCTCTCGACCCAAAACTAGCTAAGGGTCTACTGGGAACTAACTCCCAAAAATAACTCGAGAAATAAACAGAATACAACAATCATGAATGCAATAAATCTCAAATTATTCAGTCTCATATTCTCAATTTCAAAACATGCAAACCAACTCAACAAACCAGTGTCTCAACATGGAATAAATAAAAGTCTGCAAGTTCTGATAAATAAATAACTCAAATTACTAATAATTAAATAGTGACCACCCTGCACTGCCCTCTAGTGTCACATCCAACTGCTTAACCCGGAAATGATGTTTATGGGGGATGAACATAATAATCAACGTGCTCATCTTAGCCTATAAAGTACATACATTCAAATTAAGTAACGGATAGCGTTGTAAGCAAATATGACACACAAATAATGATTTCGCACCCCACTAAGGTGCCTCTAGAATTCTCGCAGTCGTCTAGACGGCGCAACTCGTCTCATCTCATCTCATCTCATGTCACGCAACCCGTCGGGTGCTAAGCTAGTATACGACATATCTCATCTAAAGAACAACCCTAATATAGGCGTTCACCGCACAAGATCAGCCGTGTAGACGGTGATCACGGTATAAGTCTGGAAACACATAAATTCATGCACATAATTGTAAACAAAAATACCACAGTGATTAATAAGAATGATGTACTAGATTGACTTCCCCCTGACTTCTGGAATCTGCTGAAGGACGAGTGAGTGCTTCCATAGGAAACTCGGAGGCTCGACTCATCGGGATCTACATTAATGAAGCATACTCGAATAAATATTCTAACTCTTATCTCGGTAAACTAATTTATCATATTGAAGGATTTTCTAGCTTAAGGTTCACGACTTAACTCTATCTCTTTCTTAGATGTTGGAACTCTCGACTCGGACTCTTCTAAAAAAATCTCTAAAATTAGGCTCGGCTCAACAATTCATAAAAAGGGTTGAATAACTTTTAAAAATTCTAAAAAACTAGCTCGGGACATTTGAAAACATTCTCGACTCATTTGAAAATGGTTTAGTGCGGCTCGACAGTGGTTGACACCGATCGCGATCCGGTGTTGCTGCCTGGCCCCGCGCCTGCACGGGGACTGCTACTGACTGCTCAGTGCATTTAAAGCACGCACTTTACCATTAGGGTCTGTTGGACATGACTTGCTGGCCTTCGGTAAATTGTAGACAGTCCGGAGCTCCGGGGTGCCCGCAATCGGAAACAGACAGCTGGGGCGCGCCTCAGGTCACTGGCGCAGTGTCTCGTGAATCTCACTGCACCTAGCATGCGGGCCCTCACACACTAGTATGCCAGTCGCCTACGAGTCTTACGCAGACACTGATCGACTGTGACTACAACTGTTGTCATCCAGCACAGCGACGTTTGTTTTCGACAACTCCCTTGCTTATCCACAAGTACTCACGACCAGTCTAAAATGGCATTTTAGGCTAGAATAATTTTTATAAGCCCATTTTCTTTCAAAAAAATAATTATGAGGCAAATGAACTCGTATTATAATTTGCAATCAAGGCACAAAAGAAATACCTCATTTTCTCAAGCATTTATCACAACATAACATAGGTTCTAAACATAGAAAAATCTCATCTTTAATCTCATTTTATCAAACAACTATACGGCATTTCTCGGCTATCTTATACTTTTAAAAATAGATGAATATTCAGAGCCTCATCAACACCAACATCAAGAGTCCAACATCAACTATATACATATCTCATCACAACAATTTCAAGAATTTATCTCAACTCAATAAATAACAAGTCAATTAACCTTAAACAACCTTAGATCCTTCAATATAACTCATACAAATATCGAGAAGGTATAGCCGTATACCTCCTTCAGGTATAAAACGAAGAGGGCTGAAAGATCGTAAAAATGAAGCCTCGGATGCTCGAACTCAGCCTCGGCAAAGCTCGATAAAACTGCTACTCTCGAATAAAGCTCTCGGCAAAGCTCGATAAAACCCGGCTCGGCTATTGCTCTCAACAACACGTACGGGCTGCTACTTTGTCTCTAAACGGCTACAGCCGTCATGCCCGCTGCTGCTCAATAAAGCCTCCTGGCTGCTGCTCGGAGTCGTCAGAAAGAAGACGGCTGAAAACTCGGGGCTGCTCGATTGAATCTCGTGCGGAGGGTGGTGTCGGACGGCCGCTGCAAATCTCCTCTTCCGGCAGGACGTGCGGCGGCTGCTGCTGCTGCTCGACATGGACGGTCCGATCTCCATGGCTTCTCGAACGGTTGCTCGACGTCACCGGCGTGAAACGAACGGACAGACGGCGAAGGACTGAGATGGGCCGATTTGGACCACTTGATCGAACGAGAACCTGCTAAGGAAGTCGCGCGGCTGAGATGGTTCGCCGGCGATGGCTGGGAATATCTCGATGGCCTCTCGTGGTCTCCTCTCGACTTGAACCGGAAGCGACAAACGGAGGGCCACCTGCTGCTCGCGTTACGCCGCAATTGCAGAGAAGAGATGCGGTGGCGACGGCGGCTGCTCGATGATTACCGGCGAAAGGGATTATGAGCGATTGAAGGCTGAACATAATGGCGAAACTGATGATGATTTTTGATCGATTAAGGAGGTGCTGGGTTTTCTGAGATTTGGGTGAGTTTCGATTGAAGGAGAAAATGGCTCACAAAGAGAAAAGAATATATATATTGGGCCCAATTCTTAGAAAATTTGGGCCGAGGTTTCTCTTGGCAATGGACCGAGAATCATCCTAGTCTTGGGCCAATTATAATTAAGCTTATAAGGGCTGAAATATAAGCTCAAAATCAGTCTCCATAAATTCCAAGGAAACGAGAAATTAGAATTGATGAAGCCAAAATACGAACTCAAAATGAATGACAACTGATAAACCGAAAATTCTAAAAATTTCGGTTTCACTCTAAATAATTAAATCGAATGGCTAACGAATATCCGATAATTCAAATAATTTAATTAGACACTAACGTCTAAATAAATTATTTCACTTAACGGATTAAATAGACACTAACGTCTAATGAATCCTAAGAGCTTATCGAGCTTAGAATCTTTAAATAATATGCAACTAACTGCATAAATAAAATAAATAATCGAGATGTCTTCTAATATCCGATTGGGGCGCTACAGATTTTGAGTCAGGTGAAAGAGGTTTATGTGGATAGCCAGCTCAGGCTATTATCCGCCAAGTGCCGGAGGGGCTAATGGTTGTGAAAAAAAAATCCACGAGTTGTCTTGTCTTGGGAATATCATGCGGAACATCAAATTTGGATTTCCCAAATTCTGGAAAGTGGTTTTCCTCATTTGTCCTATTTTACATCCCAACAAAATTACAAATTTTAGGATGGACGAGTAAAATTGCAAATTATGTATCGGTAAGTAGCATAAACCCAAATTTACCCTTTCACTTGTCCTCGGCTCCTCGCCTCCATCGTCCTCTTCTGCCACTATAAAAACGTTCTACAATTTTATTGTTTCCTCAGAAATCACCATATTTCTCGCCCAAAATAGCACTTGGTCAGTTTTATTACGAAATTCACGTGTTACATGTGAAAAACTGGACAATGGATTGTTGCAAAGACACAAAGGCAATAATGGGTCAGGTTGTATGCCCAAAACCTCGTCGGGCCGGGCCGTCGATGGTGGTTCCCTTGAGATCTCGCATGCGGTATTCTATTTTCTTGATCGATATTCCTCTGTAGGCATGGTTTTTGTCAGTTTTCTATTTTGAAAAATGTGTTGAAGTTTGTTAATTTGGGACAGTGACGATGCCGAGTCGAAACCGGGTGCCGAAATGCTTGGCTTAATCTTAAAGGTAGATTTCCAGATTTCATCTGATTAATTGCTTGATTTTAGGTGCCTTTGTTCAAGTAGATTAACCTTTCTCACTTAATCATGCCTGATTAGTTTATGTTTTTCCCCATTATTTTATGTTGCGTCGTGTTTGATTATCCCTTTCCTTGCTTTTTGATTTTTTATTTCTTGTAGTTTATATGAATTGATTGCTAAATCTTGCATTTATGCAGTCTCTTCACATCCCTGTGCTAATGTGGATTCAAATCCTTGCGCTGTTTCTCCATTGCTCTGTATGCTTTTTCCTGACATTGTGTTTTGGTACTTAGGTACACTGAGCCTTAAAATTTAAGATGCTAATAGTTAATTCAAAAAGGGTTTAGCTGCCAAACTGCACAGGCTGAAATTTCTAAGAATGCTTGTGTGAATAAATGCTTAAATCGTTCAGTGGACTTTGCTTCAGGTGTTTAGTGTACTCCACGTTCGGTTTGAATCAGTTGGATAAATATGTCATGTTGATTATCTTTACATGTATACAGATAGTAAACCCATGCTTCTTAATCATTTAGCATGAGTGAAAACAGGAAATCTGATCCTAGATTTCAGCATAAACCATTTGAGCATGATAACATTCAACTTAAACTCTAATAGCTACCAAGGGGCGAATTTGGTTTAGATTTCGTCTAAGAAACTTTATTTCTACTACCTTCTCAAAGTAGATCGAGTTACAAATCGCCAAACGAAGTTAATACAGATTGCAGAAATTAGTTATTGGATTGTACACCGATAACTACCTTGTCAAAATTGGTAATTTCATGGAGCCTAATATTATTTCATTTATCTCTTACAGGACGATTTTCAAGGGTCGGTATCACCCCCGTTTTTCTTTGGATCACCTCCTTGCAGAGCCTCAAATCCTGTTGTGCAAGATGCTTGTTTTGGGATTGAACCAAATAACCTAAGTTCCATTCGCAAATCCTCTAATGATTCTGCTGATAATGGTAGAAAACAGTTGGGTAAAGAACAAATAGCCGTGAGAATTGAAGGCTTTGATTGCCCAAATACCCGTGCTGTTGCCATGGTGTAGAAAAACCAAAAAAGAAAAAAAGAAAAGAAAAAGACGAAAAGAAAAACAACTTTTGATGTCTTTATGGGGGCTTGGCTGGGGGTAAGGGTTGGCGAGTGGGAAAGGCAATTTCAACCTATATAAGTAAATTTAGCATTGAGAATTGCGTACTGAAATTGTTATTTAGTGGCACATTCTTTTGTTAATATTGTGCGCAGTCAAATTCGGAATTGTAGATTAAATGAGGACCACAAAGTTGGGACCTTGTGATGCTTTTCTGGTCGTGCGAAAGGCGATTTTGTCAGGAACACTGTAAAAGAGTTCATCTGTAAATACAGTGGCGCATTCGCGCTTTAGTAGTTATCTCGAGATACCTTCATTTTTATGCTTTCTTAGTTTTATATATTGTAATAATTTAGCAGTAGCTTGTCAGGTTACTGAGTATTAGCTGTTGCTTTCAAGATATTTTCTACTCTCTCTTGCCTTCTGCTTGAAAATTCTTTGCATGCTGTTTTCCATAATTGTCACCCATACTGCTGTGTTAATGACCTTTATGGGGTATTTAGACGAACCGAGATTCTCAGCTTTAAATAGAAAGAATCACTTTTGTTTTGTCTAGGGGAGCTTCAAGCAGAAGGCAGAAGATATTTACACTCAGTGTTATCATTTTTTGAACAGACAGTTTCACTTTGGTTTTGTCCTCAGGTTGGAAGAACTCCTTCAATTTGAAGAACACAAGGCAAGAAAAAAGAAAATGAATTGGAAAATGAATGCGGAGGATACTGATAGACTGCCTTTGTTTGGGTTAGTTTAAAGTAAACAAATTTTGGTAACAGTCTCGAACTACTTCACACCAATTGATCGTCCACAAACTATGTTCTCACATATCATTATTGATGCAATTATCAAACCAAAAGAAATGTTCGTAAGCAGGATACCGATCTTGAATAAAGATAATTTGATGTCCCAGATTGATAAATTTAAAACTTGATGCGAAATAATATGATTTTCTTGATTGAGTTCACGGGGTTATCTTGATCTAGTTAGTTTCTTTTCCCTAAACATCACTACTCGTACAATTGATGGAATGATACTGCATGCCTTAATTGGTAGAGATATGACTGATTTATATAGATAAATTACGCCGTTGACATATAAATTTCCTTTCATTTTAGTGTTAAATGTACTAACATTCAATTCAATGATTATGAATATATTTTTGGTTTACTTTTGTAACTGGATCATAAGTTGCATTATTTTTTGGTGTATAAGTGGTTTACAATTCATGTATTGTTTTATTTTTAAGTTGTACTTTCATAAAGATTTTCAAAATGTGTGATACATGAAGAAGGGCCAATTATATTTAGGTGACTTCTAATCGGGCACGTGCATCAAATATCAAGAATAACGACTTAGATTTGTTATAAATGTAGTCATAGCCAATGAGATAATTAATTATGAGTGTAATACTTTCGATCAATATATTCTTGCATCCTCTCACTTGATCATAAAGCCTTTAAGATATAATAAAATAACATTAGGTACGTGTTGCGTAAATTGTCCACTGACCCGATCTGGATCGTAAACCACTAGTGTGAACCGCTTCAATGTCTCCGGTTACCTAAAAAACGTCTGGAGGGGTTCCAGCGGAAAACATTCCGACGCTCAAGTCAGTTCACGTTCAGCAATGATATCAGGACGAAATGTATTTGTGCGTGAAAATGTGTGTCGTGTTTACATAAAAAAACCCGGACACCCTTTTATACTAGGGGTTGCGGATGCAAATCCAGATTCCTAGGCCACAAAAGTGTCTTTGACTATCCAAATTCTCTACCAACTAGATTCCCCGTATGCCAGAACCCGAATGGTACAGACTTTCTATATATAAAGGACTATCGCTTTTTCTCCCACACGCCTTATCCAATATTGTTCCCATATCTGTACCCTTATCCTATTAAGCAAACTTGCGCCTTGTCGCGCTATCCTGAGTGGACCGACGTCAACTCTAATACATGTAGAGCTGTTTCGTGTCGCGCTATCCTGAGTGGACCGACGTCAACTCTAATACATGT